CAAGCCCAAGCAAACTCAGGACAGTAACCCAGCATAGAACTGGGAAAATGAACAGCAGACCTCAATCTTATCTGAAGGAATGTTGGCAATTGATTGCTGCTAGATGAAGAAAAGCTGATCTTCCTAACACAAGGGACTCTAGATAGGCTGACTAGACTTAGTGAACAGACTTGCACAGGGAATGGCTGGGGACAATGACAACCCAGTGGGCCTTAACAGGGATGAAAGAAGTATATAGGCTCTAGTGGTGGTAGGGGGGAGCTATGGGATGGTGCCAGTGGGGACGGGGGTATAAAGGTGATTAAGATTGTTTGAGATGTTCTATATAAAATACACAAAAAATTCAATTAAAAAAAAGTGTTAGCTACACAAGCCTAATTAATGACCTGAGTTTGGATCCCTGGAATCCAGTGTAAAAAAGCCTGATATAGGGGCATGTGTCTATAATTCCAGCATTTCTGTAGAAAGATGGGAGATGGAGATAGCAGAATCCTTTGGAAGTTCAAGGACCAGCTAGCCAGAAGTATGCGGCACAGGGGCAAACAACAGGAGAACCCTGCCTCAAAAAAGGAAGAGGACAAGGACTACTACTAGAGGTTGTCCTCTCACTTCAGTGTTGAGTGCTGTGGCAGGTACTTGCCTTCACACATGGACACACACACACATTGTACACACATACCTACTCAAAAATAAATAAATTTTAAAGGTACTCTGAGATTTCTAAATTCAATAGGATATAAAACTATAACTGAAATAGACCACAAACAAACGTGAACTACATGAATTAGCACCTAGGGAACCCGACAATATTCTGAATTATAGAAGTTGTTCCATATCAACTCTGGAGATTGTTTTGAAATCTCTGGTAATTCTTGATATTATCTGGATTCTAGTCTGGGACATTTCTAACTGCCTGTTGGAAATTTAGACTAGTAAAATATTGAGCTACTGAATATTTCTAGTTAAGAATCGGGTATGGGATTCTGTTTGTATGAAAATATAGGACAGTCATTGGTGTTCCCTGGAGAGAAGCTAGAATTCTGATTTTCTTTTCAGGCAACTGGATGCCAGGGAAATTGTCAAGGGAGTAATCTGAACCCACATATCCAGAAACCAATTCTAGATTTTGACCAGAAAGTAATTAAGAGAAACATTTTTTTTTTTTTTTTGGTCTTTTTGAGACAGTCTCCCTCTAGTCCCAGCTGGCCTGGAACTTGCTATGTAGATCAGGCTGGTCTTGAACTCACAGAGATCTGCCTGCCTCTGCCTCCCAAGTGCTAGGATTAAAAGCGTGTACCACCACGCCTTTTTAAAATACTTTGTCATTTTTTATTTTATATGTATGAGTGTATTGCCTGCATTTGTGTAAGTGCACCCATGTTGTGCAATGCCCTGGTGGTCAGAGGAGGGCCTTGGATCCCCTGGAACTGGAATTAGCACAGCTGTTAGCTGCCATGTGGGTGCTGCAAATCTGCAAGAGTAGTCAGTACTCTTCACCACTGAGCCATCTCTCCAGGCCCATGAGAAACATATTTTATCAGGGCAAAACATAACATAGCCCATGGAAGTCTAGTACAGGGGAAAATGTAATAAGTTTTTCTATAAAAGCAAGATAAGCTGGGCCTGTAGCACAGGCCTGTGTTCTCAGCTACTCAGGAAGCTGAGGCAAGAAGAGAACAAGTTCAAGGCCTGCCTGGGCCATAAAGAGAGTTCAAGCCGGGCTGGGCAACTGAGTGAGATCCTGTCTTAACAGTAAAGGGGCTGGAGCGATGGTGCTGAGGTTAAGAACACATATTGCTCTTGCAGAGGACCCTAGTTTGGTTCTTAGTAGCCACACTGGATGGCTCACAACTGCCTATAATTCTAGCTCCAGGGAGATCCACACCTCTGGCCTCCTTGGGCACCTGTATTCACATACACATACACACACACAGACAAACATACACACATACATAATTAATAAAAATATATCTTTAAAAATTATTTTTGTTTTATGTGTATAAGTGTTTTACCTGCATGCAAGTATACTATGTGTGTACAGTATCCACAGAGGCCAAAAGAGGGCATTGGATTTCCTGGAACTGGAGTTACAGATGGTTGTTAGATACCATGTGGGTAGTGGGAACTGAATCCTGGTCCTCTACAAGAGTGGCCAGTGCTCTTAACCACTGAGCCATCTCTCCAGCCCCATAAAAATATATCTTAAAAAAATAAAATAAAAGTAAAATAACAGGACTTGGGATATGTTTAGTGGCATAATGTTTACCTAGTATGTGCAAGACCCCAGGTCTGACCAGGTCTGTACCACAAAAAGCAAGACGAAAAGAAATCTGATTAAACCAGAAATATCAATGAGACCTAAGGGGATTTTCTTTTATCTGTCATAAAAGAAGCTCTACTCAAGGGGGCTCATGTGAAAGAGCAGGATGTTCATCCTTAACTCATCTGCTCTCATTGAGATGCCTCCCAAATCACTAATCTAGTTACAACTATGGTCAAGCCCCTTTGATGTTAAATTAATGAGAAAATATGTCTTCTGTGAAGAATAACTGAGTTTGCATATTTTTTAAGAAAGCTGTTCCAGAGTTTTCTGGTATCCCTTGAGGGCTCTAGTTTCCTAGATTCTGGAATATTGTTATTTTAGACAAAGTGTGATTGTTTTCTTCTATTGCGCGGTACTGAATTTCACTGTGTGTTATAATCACCTTGATTTTGGGGCCAGCAAGATAGCAAAGGGTAAAGATGCCTGTCACAAAGGCTGATGACCTGATTTCTATCCCCTGAAACCTACACGATAGAAGAGACCCAACTCCCCCACCTCAGACCTACACATGTGTGCTGTGGCATGTATATGTGTGCACATATGCATATGTATATACACACATATAAAATAATTATTTAAACATTAAAAAAATAGAATCACCTTGCTTTTATGAGGAAAGGCAGGGATAAGGTCAGAGAGAGAAAATGTCCATGCTCTAAGCAAAAGCAGCTCTTTCACCCTAGGAATTCCCACTGAAATCTTCTCCGCACCATACCACAGACTTCATAATGCAGACACTATCATTGTGACTGTGTCTGTCTCTTTCTCTCTTCTCTCTCTCTCTCTCTCTCTCTCTCTCTCTCTCTCTCTAGGTCAGAGGTCAACAATGGGTGACCTCACTCTATCTTATTTTTTGAGATAGAGTTCTACCAATCACTGCCCCTGGAGCTTGCAGGTTCTGCTAGGCTGGCAGGCCATTAAACCCCAGGGAGCCTCTAGTATCCACCTCCCCAGCAAAGCAATTATGGGTACATGCTGGAACACTGGACTCCTATGTGAGTGCTGGGGGTCAGATCCAGGTGCTCATGATTATACAGTAAGCACTTTACTGACTGAGCATCTCTCCAGCCACACCATCTTATTTATTCCTCATTAAGAAAATATTTTAATTCTTCCACATAATGTACTTTGTCTAAAAAACATGGAATAAGAACTACCTTCTGCCAGGCGTGATGGTGCACACTTTTAATCCCAGCATGTAGGAGGCAGAGGCAGGTGAATCTCTGTGAGTGCCAGGCCAGCCCGGTCTACATAGCAAGTTCCAGGCCAGCTGGGGCTAAAGGAAGACTCTGTCTCAAAAAAAGATGGAAGAAAAAGAAAGAAAAAGAAAAAGAAAGAATTGCCTTCTGTGTAAAAAGAATAAAAGGAAGAATTGTTTCTTTTCAATACCACATATCTGGAACAGCAAGAAATAAACAACAAAGAATCAGGGAAAAGTTGTGACTAGCAGAAAAATCAAATATCCAGAAAACTTTAAGATCAAATAAACTGGAGAGAAGTCCATGTGAAAGTAGAAAACAGTGTTAGAAGAAGTTTTAAAAATTACAAAGTACATTAGGGAAGGGCATAGTGGAACACGCCTTTAATCCCAGCACTTGGGAGGCAGAGGAAAGTGGCTGGATCTCTGTGAGATCAAGGCCAGCCTGGTCTACATGGTGAGTTCCAGGCCTGCTGGGGCTTACAGGGCCTGTGTCAGAAAGACAAAAAAAAAAAAAATTATAAATACTTTAAAGACAAAGTACTTAAGAACCTTCTGTAATAATCATCCGAATCTGAATAATAAACTGAAATAGTCGCTTTGGCACGTTGTAAAGTATGCAATTTAATTATGTGATTTTTCTAGCTAATTTCTGCTTCAAAAACAGTAAGTACTTCTGCTTACAAGGTGGCAGAGACAAGAACTTTCCACAGCCTCTCATATGCACATTGTCATCAAAATTTAAATTACCAGCAACATGCCTTTGAGTTAAATTACAATTAGGCCAGAGATTATTTCCTGATATCCCACTATGTGCCAGACACTGGTGAAGACAGTAAACGACAGCTTGCGTCTGTAAAGCACTGTTTCCGTTTCAGGTTCTCAAAAATGACATTTTCAAACAAACTATGTTTTTTTTCTCAACATGTGCTTGAATACATCTATTATTATAAATTGCTGCTACTCAGGAGAATCTTTTAAAAGACTTCAAAATACACTCTGCTGCATTTGCATATAGAGTATATATTTTACAATAGTTACGCCTGGAAGTCAGTCAACAATGATAAATACAGACAGATTGTCTGACAAAATACAGCAACAATTTAGGGGGATTGGAGATGGCACACTTGTCAGAGAATGTCCACAAATAATTAATTACTTTAGCATGTTAAAGATAATTCTCTTAATATCACAGGCTCTTTTAAGGGTACACTCATTACTTCCTAACCATCTGTCATCTCTCCTCCCCAAAAAACTAATTAGAGTTTTGCCCAATCACACATTAGAAATGACGTAAATATGGATGGTAAAAGCAATTTAAAGAAGTTAACATCGTAACATTTTGTTTAAAAAAATCATGAAATTCAAAACTAGTCTTTCATGTTCTGATAAAGTGTTTATTTTTCTCATCTTTTCCTGGTAAGTCATTGAATTATAAGCTTGTAAAATTAAAAGAAACTCAAAGGAAACAAGAAACACTTACAGGTAGTAGAGCTTTCCTGCAGGAGTGAGTTCCCTTTTCCGATAATCTATCCCAGAATCCAGCTGGACTGTATTACAATATTCCTATAATACAAATACAACATCTTTTTAAATATTTTATTATCTTTATTTTATGTGTATGCATGTATTGCCTGCTTGTAGGTAAGGGCACCTGTGTCATACAATGCCTGCAGAGGACAGAAAAGGCTGTCAGATCCCCTAGAACTGGAGTTAACGACAGTTGTTAGCTGCCATGTGGGTGCTGGGATTCGAACCCAGGTCCTCTACAAGAACAGCCAGTGTTCTTAACCGCTGAGCCATCTCTCCAGCCCATAAATACAACATCTTTTTAAACAAGGAGTGACTTGGAATTAGAAGCTTTCTGCTATAGTATGTATGTTTCAACGACTAATATAATGAGCTCAGGACAAAACAATATAACGTGTAAAATTAAGGTTTCAATATTAAATACATACAAAGCCAATAAAATAACAGTTCAGGAAATTAAGTTTTGCATCATGTTTTCCTGAAATGTTGCCAAAATAGTATGTGGTAAAATTTCCCAAGTAACTACATTAGAGTTTTGTTTTATTTTTGGCATAGCTGAATTATTTTAGAAGGTAAAGCTGGAAGCTACTAGAACGAATACTTCATGGATCTTAGCACAGAGACAGAAGAGAAGCAGTCTGAGAGAGCTGGGTCTGAGAGAGCTGGATCAGATCTTAGTGTTCATGCTTTAAATCAAAAGGCCACACTAAAATGAAGCCTTGTGCAGACCCACCCTTCATTTCTAAATACTTACCATTGCTCTTGTCCCTTCAAATCTCCTTCCAGCCATCGTGCCGTCTCCATCCTTTCTACCTGAATCATCCTATATCACTAATATCTTTTCTTCAACCACATAATCCTTTCTTTTCATCCTCTAAGGTACATATGTACAGGTAAAAACAGATACCACACACACACATACTCCAAAAAATTTATTTAAAAAAAACTTTGCAACACCTACTTTGATTAGTTGAATTTTTGTGGGCTGGAGGAAATATGTATGCATACATGCACACATATTCCTTCAGTGGAACAGTAACCCAGGGACAAATCAAGAAACATTTATAGAATTGCTTTTTAGTTTGTATTCGAGGTGAAAACTGCTTTATAAAAACTGATAATGAACAGTTAAATTTTAATAATACTATTTTTATTAATATTAATCAACAACTGCATTTTTCAAATCTTTATGGCCAAGATATTGAGACTGTATAGTATTTTCCAAAATAGATCAATAATCTCTCCATCTCAACATGTTTTTCAATATAATCCTGATATTCCAACCAATAAGAAGCAGAGTCCATGTTCTGTCTCTTGAATCTTGTTACTAAAGATGGGTAGAAATGCTAGGCACGATGGTACCAGCCTATTAGCACTCAGAAGGCTGAGGTAGGAGGATTGTCATGAATTTGAGAACAACCTGGGATACAGCTTCAAGGCAGCCAGGGCCACATAGATACTGTTTAAGAAAAAAAAAAAAAGAGGGGCTAGAGAGATGGCTCAGGGGTTAAGAGCACTGGCTGCTCTTGCAGAGGACCTGGGTTCGATTCCCAGCACCCACATGGCAGCTAACAACCATCTGTAACTCCAGTTCCAGGGGATCCGATGCCCTCTTCTGACCTCTGTGGCACTGCATGACACAGGTACATTTACATACATGCAGAAAATACACGCCTACATATAAAATAAAAATAATAACTAGACTATAAAAAAAAGAAAAGAAAAAAGAAATCCAAAAACACTAAGCCTGGTGACTTAGAAAGACCCTGTATCAAAATAAAATGTAAAAATAAAGCTGGGAATAGTTCAGTAGTAGAATGATGCCTAGCATTAAGGAGAGTCTATATTCAGTCCCTAGTACCAGAAGGAAAAAAATAGATGGAAATGATGCTATGTAATAACACCCTGCATAACATCTGAGGTCCTTGGTAGATGGACTATTTCTTCTGGTACTTCCAAGTGCCCAGTCAACACACAACTGTCTACAGGCCACTGTGGCACAAGAAAGTCTAACATCTCCACAGAGACAAAGGCCCTTGAAGAGGTTCTGTGAGAACATGAAGACAAGAGTGTTGACTATTCTCCAGCTATTCTGGAGGTAGGCACCTACCAAGTCACTACACAGGGGAGCTAGACCTGCTAGCTGAGCCCAGAGAAACAAGAGTAACCAAGTTCACAGTTTCAAGCCTGCACTTTCTAAAGACACTGATCACCAATGAATCACCAGAGCAGTATCAGATGAGCACACCTGGGAACTAGTAGCATCCTTCTTCGTCCCTGAAATGGCCTCTAGGCTGTACTGCTGGGTCAGCACAGAAGACTGGCCCGGTTGAAGCCAGAAGACCTTTTCCCTTCTCCTATGCTACAGCTGCTAAGGAGCAGGTAAAATAGGATACATACCACTCCCAGAGACTGAGCAAATTCTTCATGAGAGAGGGATTTTCAGAACACAGAATTTTTAGTGCTAACACTAGGTCAGTCTGTGACTAGTCACCCTAAGAGCAAAGACCCAGAAAACTGGACTAGAAGGCTGGCACATGTACAGTATTATGAAGGATTCGGCAGCTACCGTGAACTTGTTTCCACATAAAATAAGCTCCAAGCAGCTGGACGGCTGAAGGAATCTACAAAGTTAAGCTTTTGCACCACACATTTGAAAAAGGACCCCTGAACCAAACAAAGTCGTGCCTTCATAAAAGGCTTGGTCTGAGCAGCCCTTGGTCACCCCTGGCTCATCACCTCAAACCTACTCCAGGCTTTACTCCCAGAACCCAAGCATATAACACATCCACCAGAAAGGTCTGCAGGTCTGCAGCACTGCCCAAATGCATCATGTTGATTTCTCCTTCCCTCATATGACTTGTTTAATAATAATAATAATAATAAAGCCATGACCATATAGCCCTCATAAACCTCCATATATCCCTCTTCTTTCCTACTCTGAATAACACAGAAAACCTGGAGAAAGAGATATTGTCTCTGAGGAAACCTGTCCTGGTGTGGTGAGCATGGGTCAGTTACCCCTAAGCTCCCTCTACGAAGACAGCATAACAGTGTGCTTACTAAAATGTATTTGCCAGGTTCTGGATTCCTTTTAAACTACAATTTATCTTATGTGACCCAATATTCCTAATTTACTCATAATTTCTTCTCTTTTTTGCTATTAAAAATAAGGCTAATGGAAGTTATACAAGCTTCAATTTCTCTTTCTGGGTAACTTCTCAAACATGTGAGTGATTAAGCCTCACTGAATGATTGCATTTGTACCTTCGCTAATCACCGGCATGGAATACCTAATCAACAGCTAAGAACTGTAACCGAAGCCCTGAGATGTTAGCTCCTAATTGTCTGCAAAATACTAACTCCCAGTTTAGATTTTCAGATAAAAAATAAACAGCAAATTTTCATATTTTATGCACTTACCCTAGCCTAGATTCCTCAAAGCACTTTGCAAAAGAATGGAAGAGGATGAAAGCTACACTATTTCCAAATTGAGACAGAATCTAAAATGTCTGATCTCTAGAAAATTCTCTATATTTCAAGGAACATATACAAGACCTGTGACCTCTTAAAACCACTCAGTTCCTGTGTGTGACGCCATTGCACTAATCAACCTCCAAGTGAAATTTATTTCAGTATAGTTTGTATGTTTATGTATACTAAGGACAAATCTAATTAATCTAAAAATGCAATTAGGAAATTTGGGGAAGAAAAGGAAGGAGATTAACATACCTCTGAGAACACGTTCAAGAGTCAAAAGGCCTTTGACTTTGGAAAGAAAACTATATGCATAAAAGAGCTATATTATGGTAACTTACATTGTCCTCAAATCTACTGGGTATATTCATACTGACTCTGAATAATGCCCTTAGGGAACAAAGGGTCTCAAAAAAATAACTTTCTGTAGCTTCTACCCCATTCCCAGTTTGATGCTGGGACAGAACTCAGTGCTGAGCACTTGCCCAGCAAGCACAACGCATGAGGTCCCATCCTCAGCACTGAAAATAAAAAGAATTCAACCTCTCCCAATTTGAACAAATAAGCTAGTGGAGAAAATCTTTTAAAATCACAACATATTAACCTCTTAAGAAAAGACTGAAAAGACTTGTCTACTTTAAAAATATTTTACTTTAAAAGTAATAGCTTATTGTAAAACAAAAATGGGGCTGGAGAGATGGCTCAGTGGTTAAGAGCACTGTCTGCTCTTGCAGAGGACCCAGATTCAGTTCCCAGCACTCACATGGCAGCTAACAACTGTCCTTAACTCCAGTTCCAGGGGATCCAATGCCTTCTTCTTACCTCCATGGGCATTGCATGACACGGGTGGCAATACACTCATACACATAAAATAAAAATAATAAATATAGTATTTCTTAAGAAAAGTAAAAGAAGACAGAAAAAGCAATGTAAGTCAAATTATTATGCATTACCTAGGTAACTATATTAAATAGGAATTTGAATGATGGAAACTATCAGAATTTTTGCTTGGTTTTACTCACTTAATAAGCAATCAATAAAGAAGAAAAAAATAACAATTGAGACTATTTCTTGTTCCAGAAAATAAAATACTTTAATAACTAAATATTCTTTTGCTTAATTCTTTTTGAAACATAATTTTTAAAAATTTTTATTATTTTTATTATATGTATGTATGCATGGGGGGATATGTACAAGTGAGTGTAGGTACTAGAGGTCAGGGATGTTGGATCTCCATGGAGCTGGAGTTATAGGTGGTTGTGAACTGCCTGGTGTGGGTGCTGTGAACCAAACTTGGGTTCTCCACAAGAGTTCATGTTACTAACTGCTGGACCATCTCTCCAGCCCAAACCACCATTTCTGAACTAAAAATGTGATTCATTCTTATTATTTTTTCAAAAAGACTCAAGCACTATTTAGAAGCATAAAAAAAGATGGTGTGCTGGCACCTGTCTTTAATCCTTGCACTTGCAGGGGCAGAGGCAGGAGGATTTCTATGAGTTCGAGGCCAGCCTGGTATACACAGAGTTCTAGGCCAGACAGGGCCACACAGTGAGGCC